AATAGTTTTTTTTCTTTTCTTTTTGTCAAAAAATTCTCTTTTTTATTCCTTTTCCCTTTTGCATAGTTTTTACAAGAGGAAAGTGACACAATTTGGATTTATGGTTGTGACTGTGAAGGTGATTTGCAGGTTTTGATCCTATTGGAAGTTCAGGATCTTAATTCCATTCTTTAGGGAAACAATATATCATTCTCATAAATCATATCTAGAGGCTTTGACTATTGATAAGTGAGTTGGGTTAAGAAAATTTGTACTTTACATGTATTTTTATATATGTAATGGTTCTCTATGATTTAATAAATAAACGATACCAATCTGATTGTGAAATTAAAAAAAAAAAGAAAAAGAAATACTAGAATATTCAATTCATAAAATTAAATTTGTAAAAAAATAGAAGTTGATAATAGATTTAATAATTGATTAAATAAATAGAATTAATTTTGTTTACAATTGTATATTTAGAAATATATTAATAAATTTTTTTAACTTAACTAGCTAGGCTATATCTTATATTTCCTTATTTAATCTATATATATTTATATTATATATTATAGAAAGTTACTACATATGTATTATTTTAAATAATTGCTTAATTATATTGGATTTTATTCCATATTGGCTTATTATTATTGGTTATAAATCCAAGAATCTATTTTTGCCAAGATTAATATGCTAAAATTCCATTAGTGTTATTATTATATATTAAATTTTATTTCTAATCAAAAATGTATTAAGAAGAATTTGAAGAAAGGAATTGAAAGTAGTACTTATTAAATAAATAGAATTATTATAAGAGAATCTTTTTAAATTTGATTATCTGCAGATAGATAACCTATTTAATTTTTACCTTTCCAAAACTATTTAAGAATGTTTAAAGAACTTATCTTATAAACTTACTTCTTATAGATTATTTTAGCTATTAGTACTTATTGCTATTTTGACTACTTTTCTAAGATAAGTAATTATTAGAATAATTTATTATTGGATTGGAATAAGACCTTTTTGAAAATTTGTAGAAAAAAGATATTAGGTACTATAGAGAAATAATTATCAAACTATTTTACTGAAAATGGATACCTTATATTTTTTATAACCTTTAACAATTATTGTAATACCAACTAGATAATCATTGTACCATAACATTTTTTTTGGAAATCATAATCTTAATATCTACTGGATTAATATATGAAGTGGTTTTTCATAAAAAAATAATCCTTTTAACAAGTTATGATATTATATATTATATTAATTTTATTCAATTACCCTTATGAAATTAAATTAATATCTTGGGATTTGACTTGTAAAACACTAACTACTGTGCTATTGATCCACAGATCTAAATGTATCGATAATTATTATATATCAAACTTATATTATTTAAAAAAAATTTCTTTTTTAATAAAATCTAATTTGATATTGTTATATATTATTTCTACCTTAAGAGAAAGATAAAGATGAAGAACTAGTAGCAGAGAGGCACTTCAGATAGATAGGGCTAATGTAATATGCTAAAGTTCCTAGAAGGCATACAAATCAGTACAATTCTGAAGTATATGAGATCAGAAGAAAGAGGCAATAGTGATTTGTTTTGTAAAGATCAAGTTATTTATTTAATAAAATATGTGTTCAAGCCTGCCAATTCCTGGGTGAAATTGGAGTCTTTATATACATATTTGAGTTATAATATTTTTGTACATGATAAATATAAGTTATAATAAATAATAGAGATATAAAAAAAGTATTATATTTGTCAGAATAGTTATTTATATGTGTTAACATAAAAACAAATGCTCTGATAAAGATACAAGAATAAAGATAAATAAATAAAATAGAAAATATTCTAGAGCAATAAGAGCATAAAAAGCACAGTGATAAACAATAACAAGAATGGTAATACAAGAATTATTCTAGAATGGGCAACATTTCAAAGGTAAATGCTAATAAGAATTTGACAAGGAGTAATGATAATCTTGGGCAAAAATCAAGTGTAACAATATATAATATATAATAGAAACTATTTTATTGTCTAATTGTAATTATATTATTATTTGATTTCAATAAATTTATAAATATATTGCTATATAATTATAATTTAATTACAATAAACTTATAATTATATTAATACCTAATTTTAATAAATTTACAATTATATTGTTAATTATAACTATATTATTTGTTCAATTATTATTGTAAGATAATTCTATAAATAAATTTATATGTAATTACAATCAAATTATTATAATTTTATAGTAATTTAATAATATTTAAATAAAAAAATTTGAAATTTTTAATTGCTACTTAATTAAAAAAATTTGATAATAAAATAGTTACTGTTGTTATAACTAAATTGATATAATTTTTTTATAAATATTATTATTATTTGATAGCAATTTTTGATAGCAATTTAATAAATGTTTAATAGTGAAATAGTCAAAAAATAAACATTTTTACTAAAGAACCAGCCAATACAATGAATTTTAAAAAACAAAAAAAATCTTACTTAAAATAGATACTAAGAAAAAGATAAACCATTTTTTTTTTGTTTTGAAAACATGACCAGTATGTTTTATATGAAAATTTAGGAAAGCAAATTTTTCTAATTAAAAAAATGCTTGCAGACTATTGAATATTTCAATAGGAAAACAATCCCAAGCATATAAGTTATATAATAAAATTTTTTTTTAAAAAAATCACTAAAGTTATAGCTTAGCTCTTGAACAGCTCCAATTTAAATTCTATAAAAAATCTATAAAAAATTGTTAAAAATTATATTGAAAAACAGTGGCCAAAAGATTTAGGTATATTAAAGCAATATGTGGTAGAGTTATGAAAAAAATTCCCAATAATACTTTAGCAAATTTGGTAAAATTAATAAATGAATGTTGAAAGCTTGTAATTGAAAAAAATGATAACTATGTTTCATATTTAATTTAATAAAATAAATCTTGTGCTCTTTGGCTTTCTAACAAGCTATAATACATGTGATTTAATTTATTCATTATAAAATTATTGTCATGGTGTTGTTTAAAGATTTTCTTAATGTACTGTATATTTGGATCAAATTTTTTCCATGCTTCAAGTCTTAATTGTTAGCAAAAACTAGAGGAACCTCTAGCCCCTCATATTTAACATTTCATTCTTGATATTTATATATATAAGAGCTTCTTGTTTATCTCTTATATATTAATTCCACATAATGGCTGAATTATCAGCATCTATTTTTAAAAGAATCTGCGAGTTCGAATCTAACGTAGCATTTAAAGCCAATACTGGTGAAGCAAAACAATGATTTATACACGTTATGACTTCGGGTTTTTTCATAATGGGTTTATTAAAATTTTAGGTTATTGTTTCAAATTCATCCAGTATAATTATGTTATAAATGGTCGCTCCAATAAATGTTTTCGAGGTTAATGATATGTTTTGGTGTATTTCTAAGGTTGAGTTTCCATATATCCAAATCGAGATAAGATTAAATCCATCAAAAAGAATTTTTTGTCCATATGCAAGAGAACGTCAGCATGAAATAATAAGGGCTAAGGGCACGTAAAGCACCTTTTGTTACGCAAAAACAAAAGATCTGTCAAAATGATAAAGCTCTTTTATTTCTTTGTCATTTCTATTCGATTTACCAATATCATATTTCATTTAACCAGCATAATTTGCTGATTGCTACTAAACTATTTGACTTGTAAATTGTAAGTACGCATTGATTCAGTTCCATACATTTCGATATTCTTTCCAACTACAGTAATTTTGTAAATGTGATTCTATTGCAGATGAGTCTTAATATGTAATGGTTTCCTTCTTATCACAACCCGATTTCATTATTTTAATACTGTAACAGGATTGCTCCTTTTGCCTTAGCAATAAAGGAAATAGCATGATCCCTGCATCAACCATACATGCCCTCTCTTGTATACTTTTTTTCATAAATTTGGCAATCGTCAGATGTGTTCTATCAAAAATATCAAAACCGTTGTTAGAATTTTGTTCAAATTTCGGTAGTAGAGTTTTTCACGTGAGGAGGATTCGACTTTTGGCTTTTATCTTCCTCCCACTCATGGCCAAAGCTCTATAGAATTATTCAAAATAAAAATAATTAAAGAATCTTTCAAGGATGACTTAAGCATATAAGCTTTATGCATGAAGGGTCTTTAATTTTATGACTCTCTGCTAATCGGAAGCAATGAATATTTTTGTTTACTTTGTCATCAATAAAGCAGTGCATTCTTTTCAGAACAAGTTATAAAATTCAAGCCGTAAGTTTCCGAGCCTTCGATGCATTACGAACAAAGTATTTAGGTAATATTAAGTATTGACTTTGTTTTATTTCATAAAAAAAGTTGCTAAAAGGCATATAATACAAATAAAAATATATGTCAGAGGCAACATACTCCGTATATTTGCTTTGTTCCAAAAGGCGGCTTACATCGTCTCCTTTTTAATCCATAACCTCACGACGTTTTAATAATTTAGTTTTTTCAAACTTGATTTATCAAATTTATTTCTTATTTCGTTGATTTTTTCAACTAAATTTGTAGTAATATCATTTTTGTACCCATGTTCCGAATAATCAACTTCTTCGGCTGATACTAATAACATACTAAGAATATTACTAATTTTTTTGTTATTAATAATTGATTCATCCTGAAAAACTGACAGTTTTTCATCAATAAAAACTCGAAAAGGGTCTAAAGACCTTTTTGATTCTGTCATTTTAATACAATCAATATTTTTAACTTGAACTACTATATAATTCCAATAAGTATTTTCAATTAAAAGTGACTCCATGTCTTCTCCAAGATAACACATGTGTGGAAAAGGTAGTTGTGACATATTTTCTTTTCCAGATACTTCACGGCATACAATGTGAATTGTTCGGAATTCTTTTTTGAAAGAGATCTCATATGGAACTTTTACTTGAAAGAGATCTGCTATTAAACAATTTGCAATTTCTTCTGTATGAGGTATATCCGTAGGCGCATTTAGTAGTGTACTAAGGTCTTTAAAGGTCAAGTTTTTTTCATCATCCAATAGGAGGGTATTTCCTAATACTGGCAAATGATATGTAGTGTTTCCGAAAAGACTACATGCTAAACGAGTAGCCAAAGGGTTCACGGATAAATCTTTTTTAACGCCGACATCATCACAAAATAGACAAAGTTTGTAATCTTTTGCCCAAAGAGTGACATAGTCGGTAAGTTTACAATTTAATTTCCGTTGAATACTACCAGACTCAATATTTAATTCTACTTCTTCTGGTCTACCAGAGTATGGAATAAATATCCCTTGATATAGTTTACTAGACATGTTGCGAATTACAATAATTCAATAAAAAGCAATAAATCCAGGAATTTCGTATTGTATTTAAAATATTTAAAACACCATTTAGGGTGATTTTATTCTTTATTGAGAAATGGCTCTTGTTGCACTAAAGGAGCACATTGTAACTCAACAAAAATCTTACAAGCTGATTATTAGTGGTGATTTTTTCCAAAAATAAAAGACATGGGAGGTGTTCTCCGTACGGCATTTTCCGGATTATCTTGAATGCGGTATCACTGTCTCGGTTTGATGTTCAGTATTCCGGACTCAAATTCTCCGCATTAAATATATTGTATCCTTGTCAAAGTAAATTATGACATGTAACACTTTTAATAAATTAATACTATCTACTGATTATTTGCGTAAATTAACTACACATCTCGTGTAACTTATTCGTAAATCTATTTTTTCTGTAAATAACCAAAAACTAATTTTTTACTAATTGTTACTCAAATATACAGTTTAAAAAGATGTTTAACTATTAGTGTCAAGAGATTTTTTTTACAAAATTATATAAAGCAAATACTTTGAAACATTTTCAATATTGTCTCATTAAAAAAAACAATCTTATGCCAATTGTAATGACTATAACTATATGCCCATTGCAACAGTTTTCTTTAGCATATTTTGTAAGAAGAGGAATATGTTTTAGAAGTTTATAAATAAATTTGAGCTTTTTAAGCTCAATATGAATAGTATGTTTACTAATCTTGAAGTTTGGGTATTTTTATTCAAGTCTGGTCATAATTTTACTGCTATTACGAAAAGATTGTTCTTGATAATTTGTCCTATTTGATGATGTTTCTTGAAACAGGTTTTTTATAAATGACCTGAATAACAAATTTCAGAAATATAACTGATCTTACGCAAGGAGATATAACATTCATAAAAGTGCAAAGGAACATCAATTCATTGGAATATTTTAACTGTACTGTGAATTAAAAATAGATTTCTAAATTATTTAGCATATAAAATTTTGCAGATCAATTATATACCTTTTGAAAAGACATAATTATTTATTCATTACATTAATGGAGATATAATTCAAAAAACACTTGAATCAAATAGCCTAAATTACAAAAAACCTTTTTAGATAGTTTTTTTTTGATCTTATATTTTTAAAAAACTTTTTTAATAGTGAGGGATATTTGAATTATATCCTCACCTTTGATTTAGAACTTATCTTTACTGTAAATACTACTCTGCTATAAAAGCTTAATTGCCTG